TATATATATATATATTATACAGAATAAACCATGTATCCGAGACTGACAATCCTACACTTAAGTAGGTAATTGTTAATATTTTAGAAAAATTAAGGGGACAGAAATAAATGCACATTCTGAAAGATATATCACCACCCAATACTGCCTGGGTGGAATGTTATACTTACTGGTAAAATCTGAAAATGTTTAATTTTTTGATGATGACACAATGTAAGTACAAATGCCTTTGGATTACTCTGGCTGTCCCGAAGAAGAAATAATCTACAAAATAACATTGTATGTTACTACCAAATTGACTATATAGTTCTTATAAACAAAAAATTCCACTGTTTATGATATTATCAATACATAACACATTCCATGTCTTTTCATAAATAATCTAATATTTCATTGATAAAAATAATATAAATAAAAACTATACATAAGCTGATATTCTATGTATGTTCAAGGATACAATATTTTTAAAATAATTTTTATTGAATGTTTTAATCTTTAAAAACAGAAAGAAAAACACCACAAGAACAAAAAACAAAACATGCATAACAATATAAAGTAATTATACAGCCTTCTGTAACAGCTTTCCTGTTTAGTCTTTATAATTCCCCATTCTGCATTGCCTTCCTATTGCTTTAACCTTGTCCTATAATATAACAACAGTAGTGCTAACACTTACAATAATATTAATTATTTATATCGCCATATATTTACATTCTCTATTTTCTGTTTTGGCTTCTGTTTTCTAGCAACATAAATTTTATTCCATATTTTATAAAAATCCGATTCTTCTCTTTCTTTTAGTTCTATTGTCATTTTGTCCATCTCTGCACATTTGAGTACTTTTCTGATTATTGTTTCATCTGCAGGTGTATTGATTTTTCTCCAGTTTTGTGCGAAAGCAATTCTGGCTGCAGTGAGTATGTGTATGATTATGTATTGAGATTGTTTATCCATTTTTGGTCTGATAATCCTAACAAGAATGCTTCTGGTTTCAGTTCTATTTTTCGCTCTGTAATTTCTTCCAACCATTTCCGAATTTTGCACCAGTATTTCCTTATGATGGGGCACGTCCACCACATAATGGTAAAATGTTCCAGACTTGTGGCTACATCTCCAACATTTGGGGGATAAATTTGGATACATTTTTGCCAATCTCGCTGGAGGCAAATGCCATCTATAAAACTCTCTCTACAGATTTTGTAATTCGTCTTCTTCGTTTTCTGCTCCCCAACTCAGGCACCGATTTTCTCTCTTTGGAGACTCACTTAATTGCTCTATTGTAAATTCCACCAACTTAGAGAAGTGTCTTGGAGTTTCAGGTTATTTAACACTGTCCACTGATACTTCTGCCACTTCTCACTTTTTTGCTTCCTCCACCATTAATCAGACTGTCATATCTCCGAACCAGGCCATGACCAAGCCATAACAGTTCGTCTCGTCTGTGTTGGATTTCAGGGATCCAACCTTCGCAATGGAGAGATTGCTCTTCTCCTCGTCACCTCTGGGTATTCCCCTCACTATCGCTGTCCTCTCCAAGGCTCAGCTTTGCTGCTGACAGCTTCCAGACATGAAAAATCAGACAGGGAGAGCAGAGACTCACTCCCCTGCAACTGCTCCAATGTGACATCACCCAGGGACTCTCAAAGATACAACATTAATTGTTTGATTTCTTGCAATCTGAGCATTAAAGTAATTTTATTTTATTTAGCATATAAAAAATATGTGGACTTATAGTAGTTCAAATGTTAATGTCAAGTCCACCCAACCATTCAAGGATAAAATGGTGTATGTTGAAAAAAATCAGACATTGAGCCAGTGTAAGCTTGATGGACAATCGGACACAATGTGGTGGATATTTTGTCGAGGAGCACCACAGTTGCACTGAGACAAGACCCCACTTAAACAATTGAGTCCTGGCAGACACTATGTCCTGTTCAGACTTAACCAATGCTGACGAGGAAGGTCAAAACCTGGCATCTTTTATATAGGGTCATCTATGTAACTGCCTGTATCCTGGTGTTCAGCAGCCCATTTGGCTTTCCACACTGTATGGATGTCAAAGTTGTTTGACAGTTGAGCGAGTGCCAGAGAGAGCTTCCTGGACGTAATCCTGCCAATTGATTGAACCGTACCAATTTTGGAGTATTCCAACTCAATAAGCAAGTACATGGTTCATGCAAAGGGCTTAGTTTGAGTCTTGAAAGCTGTGGTATAGAAGATCTGAATTAGCAAAGAACAGTTATTACTATTTGTTTTTCCAAGGATTTAACATTATGTAAATTTATTAGCACACTCATTTCAGGGCTTCTACCAGGATTTATAGGCTATAGAATAAATAGTACACAATTAAAAAATACATACCCATCCACAAGACCCTGCTGTTTAATAATCCTATGTGATTCTTCTCTTGAGATCCTGCCATGAAACCAGTGTTGTGTCCTATGAATAACTAATGAAAAAATGGTTACAGCTAACGTATTAAAATATATATCTACATTGCAGTATATGTTTTATCTTTGTTTATTATGTTCCTAACTACAAGAATTCAAATTAGGATTTCTGGTGGTTCATGCTATAAAGACAGAACAAAACAAAAATATAGTATTAATAAAATAAAAATAATATCACGATGCAGTAATACAAAGTTAAAAAATTGGTTCTGAACAATAAAGTTGCTCATTTAACTTTAGAGGGAGAGCATTCTCTAATATGAGGCACTGTAACTCAGAAACAAACCTTTTGGACCCTAGACCCTCTGGCATCATGGGCTCAGATGCCATTAGCAGAAGTTGATGATGGAGAGTAAGTTCTTGGAGGTTTTCTCTATAAGAAAAGTGGCCCTCTATTTACCTTGCTGCCAAGCCACAAATGACTTGTGAAAATGTAATTTGCATTGAATTTCAATGAAATATATCTCTAACACACTAACATACACATACACACAAGATATTCTTTATATTAAATGTACTCATACGTTGTTGGCCCAATTACAGTGATTAGATTTTCTATTGTATATCAATTTTTTTAAGCTACTATGAGCTCCCCAAAGTTACTTTCAGTGAGATTGTGATTATATAAATTTGACTGATAGAAAGATGCATAGATAGAACAGATATGAGAATTACATAACATTTTAAAACCCCATCTCCTACCTAACCACTGTACTTATTATGGACTGGTCTGTTTTATACTTTTAGAAGTACTATGCATCTTTTTTTAAGTATCAAAAATGTATGTATTTAAGGAATTTATATGGCTGACCAACACAAACTTTGCAAATACAGACGACAGACCACAGACTAAAAACAAAACAGGTTAAACTAATTTTTGTGTTTATTTATATTAATTTTCTTTAATATAAGTGAAGTCTTGCATATCTCCATTGATTTGTTTTATTTATTTATCTAGTCAGTCTGCTGGTCTCACCACTGTAATAAAAATGGGATATAACACAAGCTTCTCTAAAATGATGTGAAATAAATTCAGAAATGCTTCAAAGTAAGGAAGGTTTCTGCATTTGGATCTGTTTAATCTGATCAATCTTATAATCATAAACCAGAAAGTAGAATTTTCAGCAGAACAAATAATTATGTAAATTATGGATATCATATACAACAGGTTCTTATAAATGTCTCTAATATAAAAGAGTTTTTCTTTAAAAAAATGAAGTAACATTTTTCTTCTTAGTACATAAACCATAATGAATTACTTCATTTTTTATGTCCATTACCTTAACATTTTAAGTATCATTAAGATTACAAACACACACACACACACACACACAAACACACACACACACACACACACAAAGTACTATAAGTTATTGAACAGAATAAAACCTGTTTAGTAATCAACCCAACCAGGACCCAAATATTTAAAGGTTGGAAAAGCCATTTACTGTACAGGTAATCCCCAGTTTAAGAATGAGTTCTCTTTCCAAGATCTGTCCTTAAATTGAATTTGTAATCCAGAACAGTTTTATTATACAACATTGCTTAAGTAAAATTGAACTTAAAGCACTGTATATTTAACTCAAATTTTACTACAATAGATATCCTTAATTATGGGTCAAACTTACACTGGAGTATTCTTAATTCAGTGATTTGCCATACTACCATGTTTACTACTGATTCATGGGCTAAGTTCAGCATTAATCGGGTGTAAAGTAAACACTGACAGGCATTTAAAATACAAAGACTTCTTTAACTCCTGATGACTACATAACCCTACTGTATGTAGTCTTGACAATAATGTTGAAATAGTTGGTGACTACCTTTTCCCAGATGTTTCAACATCTTGGTCTAGCTTGTTATCCTTAGATTTTATGGTGACTATTATCCAACCTCCTTCTTAGCTTTTTTAAGGTTAGTGAAGATTGTTACATTGAAAATTAAGTACACTGTATGGACAATTACTAGGCAAATGAGTATTTTGACCATATCATCACTTTAATGTATATTTTCCACCTTCAAGCTGTATAAACCTGAATGCTGAGTGGATATAAGCATATCAGTGATGTTAAGGAGGGAGGGTGTGGCCTAAAGAAACCAACCCAGACAGCTTCTTTTCCTCAGGCAAAATGGGCCAAAAAATAGATTTAACTGACTTTGAAAAGTCAAAAATTGTAGTCTTTCACACACAGATGCAGCACTCTTGAAATTGCTAAGATATTGGGGGTGATCACAGAAACATCAAATGTTTTGTAGCAAATATTCAACAGGATTGCAAGAAACGTGCTGAAAAAAAGGACACACTTTAATTGCTAAAGATTTGAGAAGAATCAAATGTGAAGCTACCAGGAACCCATTATTCTCCAGTGCTGTCATATTCCAGAACTACAACCTACCTGGAATGCCCAGAAGTACAAGGTGTTCAGTGCTCAGAGATATGGCTAAGGTGAGGAAGGCTGAAACCTATCTACCACTGAACAAGACATATAAGTTGAAATGGCAAGACAGATTTTTCAAAGGTGTTATGGACAGATGACAGACCAGATAGATGGGCCCGTGGCTGGATCAGTATGGCACAGGGCTCCACTTCGACTCAGATGCCAGCAAGTGGAAAGTACTGGTATGGGCTGGTATTATTAAAGATCAGCTAGTTGGACCTTTTCAGGTTGAAGATGGACTCAAAATCAACTCTCAAATCTATTGCCATGTTTTAGATTACACTTCCTTCAAGCAGTGATAGAGGAAGAAATTTGCATTTTTCAACAAGACCGTGATTTTTATGCAAAACCATGTTCCATCATATGCTTCGAAGTACTCCATTGTGTGACTAGTCAGTAAAGGACATGGACCCCTTCCTCACTTAATCTACATCCTATTGAGAACTTGTGTTCCCTTCTTAAACATGAGATTTATGGTGAAGGAAAAAAGTACACCTCTCTGAACAGTGTCTGGGAGGCTGTGGTTGCTGCTGCTCAACAAAAAGTTGATTGTCAACAGAAACTGACAACACCATAAATGGAAGGCTTATGACTGTTACTAAAAAGAAGGGTGGCTACATTGGTTATAGATTTTTTTTTAATATCAGAAATGTTTATTTGTAAATGTTGAGTTGTGTGTTTATTATTCTCACTTTAATAAACAAATAAACAAAGTGTGATGGGAAATTTTTCATTTTGTTGCGTAATAATTCTGCATATAATATATGCAGAGCCGAGGTGGCGCAGTGGTTAAATGCAGCACTGCAGGCTACTGCTAGATCAGCAGTTCA